AAAAAGAGCCATAAGTCACTTTTTTCAGTGCCGTTGTAACTTTGAACAGTTGCTAAATGAGCTGTTGTAAATCCAGGATTACCTGTATCCAGTTCAGCTTGCCATCTTCATTTAAAATAGTTCAGTAATCATTCATTGAAATATGAATAGGAAGGTCTTATTTGAGATCATCATACTGCCTCTGTCGGGCACAAAAATTGCAGAATACAAAATTTATTTAGACCTATAGCCAAGAATCCGATCAACTAAGATTCAGCACTGAATTGGTGCCAGATAGGGGTCAATGGAATTCAGAAGAGTTGGATTTGGAGCTCTTGTGGGAATGCAAGAACTCTAAACTAATGACGCATTTAACTCTGCCCCCTTCCCAATCTCTCTGCTCTTCTCCTACATCTCCCTATGGCTGGTGGGAGCTATTGTTTGGTCCCTAGACTGGTTTTTATCCTCCCAAAGAGTTAGGATTTTGAGCTCTTTGATATTTTTTTAGGCTCCTAGTTAACTCTTTTGTTCTTCCATCATAATGGGATAAGTGAGGGTGTGTTTTTTTTCCTTATATTATTGTATGCTACTTATTTCAGAAAGGCAAGCCACAAAACTTGTTAATAAGTCAATAAATATTGGACTACCATTTGTCAGAAATAATGCTTGGGTGGGGGAGTTGGACTAGATGTCCTACAAAGTCCCTTCCAACTCTGTTAATCTGTCTGTCTGTGTGTCTGTCTAGCTGTCTGTCTGTCTATTCTTTCTATAGACTGCAAATAATAGGTATTCCCCTTCACTTTCCCTGTCTCTTGCAGAACCAGACTTCTACCCCCATTCCACGGAGGAAGCCCTGTGAAAGCGATTTTGAAACTATCAAGTTGATCAGCAACGGGGCTTATGGGTGAGTAGGCTCAGCAAGTAGCGGCGTTCCCCTTTCTGCTATAAGACCAAAACTCTTAGAAAAACATTGTGCAAAAAAGGAAAAGGACAAAAGAATTGTGCTAGTGAGAAAATTAGGTGATTTTCCTCTTTGCGGAAAGGATATCTAGTGCAAAAAAGTTTGCACTAGGTGGTCCTCAACTTACAGCCACAAATGGGACCAGAATTTCTGTTGCTAAGCAAGGCAGTTGTTAAGTGAGTCACATCCAATCTTACAACGTTCTTGCCATTGTGGCTAAGCAAATCACTGTGGTTGTTAAGCAAATTACATGGCCATTAAATGAATCCATCTTCCCCATTTACTTTACTTGTCGGAAAGCAGCTGGGAAGGTCACAAATGGCTATCACATAATCCCGGGATGCTGCAGCTGGTACATGTCAGTTGCCAAGCACCTAAATTTTAATAATGTGACCAAGGGGATGCTACAATGGTAGTTAAGTAAGTGGTGGTTGTTAAGTTGTGAGCCGTGGTGGTTCAGTGGTTGGAATGCAGTATTGCAGGCTAATTCTGCTGGCTTCCGACTGCCAGCAGTTCGATTCTTGAGACTGTTTTCATTGTTTATAGCAGTCTTCTACAACTTGGTGCTCTCTAGATTGACATTCCCATAATTTACAAATATTATAATTAGATGTTTTCTGGCTGGTTAGCTAGCTGGAGGATTGTTAAAAGTGCAGAATTGCAGGCAACTTCTGCCGACTGCCAGCAGTTTGATTCTCACCAGCTCAAGGTTGACTCCATCCTTCCAAGGACAGTAAAATGAGAACCCAGATTGTTGGGGACAATATGCTGATTCTGTAAACCACTTAGAGAGGATTGTAAAGCACTGTGAAGCTTATACGGGTAGTCTTCGACTTACAACGGTGACCGTTCAAAATTACAGTGGCAATGAAAAATTGACTTATGACTGTTTTTTTCAAAGTTACAACTTTTGCAGCATCCCCACAATCATGCGATCAAAATGCAGATCCTTGACAACTAGTTCATATTTTTGACCATTGCAGTGTCCCAGGGTCATGTGATCACTTTTTACGACCTTCAGACAAGCAAAGTCAATGGGGGTAGCCAGATTCACTTTAAAAACCTGTTTAGTAACTTATCAATTGCAGTGATTCACTTGAAAACAGTGGCAAGAAAGGTGGTAAAATGGGACAAAACTCGCTTAACAAATGTCTCAGTTAAAAACAGCAATT